TATATATATAACCCGTAAGGTTTTGGTAGGGTTAGCATAATAACCGAAAAGACGAACCATAACCGAATTAAGCGATATAACTAAACCATTAAAATTGAACCATTACTGAAAACGGTGATGCATTTTCTGATTTTAATTAACCGAATCGAGTGGTTCGTTTTCAGTTTTTCTATGAAAACCGAACCATAAATAACCAAACCGAACCGATAAACATATAAAAGTTTGAATTTTTTATATATTAAATAATTGGTAACTATATTAACTATTTAAGGAAATAAAGGAATTAAAGGGCAATTTTTATTGTTAAATTAGATATGCATGAATAAGATGAACAAACTTTATCTTATCACCACAAACTTTCCTTCGTTATCGCACATAATGCTGAATACTATAGAGAAGATACACAATTGTGCAAGAATGTATGATTAATGGTTTTGATTCTCAGTTAATCCGACTCATTCTCATTCTCCATCTCCTTTGTAGTTCGCACCAAGTCTCAATACTTGCCTCTTGATAGTTTCGTACGCTCCCTAATGCTGAATACTTCATTATCGCACATAATGCTAAATACTATGAAGTCTTAGTATATGTTTCATGTTTAATTGTTTTCTTATAATGCAATCACATTAATATATTATGTTTGAATGTATGGTATGCTCTCCTGGTATATGTTTCATAACTGATCGTTTATTATTAAGTATATATCAATATATGTCTCGGTATTTGTTTCATGTTTGATTCTTTTAATAATACACGTGAATATATTATGTTTGGTGGTCTCATACGCTCTCCTATGTTTCATGTTTGATTGTTTGTTGTCTAGTGGCGATATATGTCTCATTGCATATTTCATGTTAGAGGTCAGTGTATGATATTGAATTTTTTCTATGAATATAATTTCAGAATATACATGTTAATGTGTTATTTAATGATACTTTAATAAAATTTTGAATGTTATTTGAATGTCAACGTCATAATATGATCAATGTTCTAAAAGGCGCGTCATGGCGCGTGCCAGGGCGTGCCATGGCGTGAGGCGCAAATCCGCCGTTACGAAAAGCCTTATGACATTGTTGTTAGGCGGGACGCGTGACAAGGCATGATATGGCGTGCTATGACACGTTATGACGTGTTATGGTGTGGATTTTTTTTTTCGTTTGAGACACGTTTTTTGCTCTTTGTTATGCCTTTTCTGATCGGGTATACAAGTATTGTGTTTTTTGTTAACTTTTTGTTATTAGCTGTTGATATAACACTTCTAAAAACTAGTTATATTTGATATCAATCTATATTTATGTGGTAAAATAATTAGAATTTAATACAAAATTGTCGTCTTACATCACACTTTGAAAAATGTCATGGATCGCCATGGCTCGTAAAGCTCGAGGCTTGACCTTGCCGCCACACCACACCTCACGCCTTTTAGAATTTTGAAAAGAGTGTATTTAGTACGGGTGAGCATGCGTCGGTTTGAGTTACTTTTAACCTAAAACCGAACCCAAAACAGACTTATATATCGGTTTTTAGAAAATTAGAACCCAACCCAACCTAAAACCGATGGGTTCGGTTAATCGGTTTTGGTTTTAAACCCAAACCCACTTACAAACTTGGTTAGCTTAGAAGAGAATGGAGTTAATCTCTCTTTTATAAGAGGGTACCTTGAGAACAATTTATTCTTATAGGCGATGTGGGATGCGAAAGTGGAAAGCTTAAGAAAACTGTTTGTGGGAAGCGCATCCTTGCTTTCAAAGAAAATGTGTGATATATGAGTGGATTCGAACTCAGGACGTGAGGGTTGGAGGTCCAAACACTTAACCATCGAACCAAGATTTTGTTTATGTTCTTATTTCACGGAATTCCTATACATACATACATTTAGTTCGGTTTCGGGTTTACTCACTTTCTTATATTTACAAAACTGAATCGAACCCGATTTTTTTTCAGGTTTAAGAAATATAAACCCAAAACCGAGGGTTAGGGTTTGCTTTCGGTTTTTCGGTTTCGTTAGTTTTTTTTTTTTTTTTTTTTTTTTAATTTTTCAATTTCCGGGTTTGGTTTTGCTTACCCCTAATATTTAGTTATCATATAAGAAAAAATAATAAAATACTAGCTTATAATTTGAATAATGTATCTATGTGTCCTATTTATTTAGTTATTTTCAGGAAATCATTATGGTTAATTAATCAATATTATCCATTAACCAAAACCTTTAGCCGACTAAAACCATTAACCATAATCAGTACTAACCATAACCAATGGATACCAAAATGCTTTAACCAATTGTAAAGGTTATGGTTCCGTTTTAACTAATAACCTAATGAAACCACCCTATACACACCCATAGGTTTTAGTACGCAAAAATATGGAGCATTTGATGTCGCCATATAAGATAGTTGGATGCAGAGAATTTAATGATAAGCATGTGAAAGATAGTTGCAAGAAAGAGGTGGTAAGAAGACTTATTATTAGTTCTAGCTAATTGCTATAACTTGATTATATGAATATATAACTATTAAAAAAGTTTGATACCATATTAGGGTTTTGGAAAAATCATTGTATTTGGTGAATTATGGATTTATCCTTTTGAATAATACAACAAGATAAATGAAAAAGATAAAACACAAAACGAACTTCCTAAGTTATTTGATATACAAAATTGTTTCCTAAATTTATGGATCCTGAAGGATTGGTCCTATTGTATCATCTTCTCCAATATCTGTGAGAGAATAAATTTAAATTATGGTGTAGTTGTTATCCGTACAAAAAGTGAAACCAATAGGAACAAAAGTTGGTTCTTCATATTCTAGCCATCATTGAGGTTATAGTATTCCTTTCTTAAGAGTTATGAATAGTTATTTTAAAAGACACACCACAATGATGGATAGAATATGAGGATCCAACTTGTGTTCCGACTTCCGACCATCATTATGGTATTATGAAATTAGCAAAACCTTAAGCAATCGCATTTACTTAACATAAGGAAATCAAGAGTGCGAGGTTTTTTAATGAGTATCTTATGTTAAGTAGATGTGATTGCTTTAAGTTTGAATTATATAAGTACTCTTATGTTCCTTTTGAAATTAAGTAGTTTCCAACTTTTGCTAATAAAATAAGAATGAAAAGATACACATTAACACACTACAACATGATAGTATGAAATTAGCAAATACTTAGTGTTTTAACCACGCAAATTGCCATAGATAAACCTCATTCAACAACGAAAGCAATTCATAATTCAAAATATGACTTCACATTTACAAAATAGAAAATCTTCTCTTACGAGGCTGTGTATGATTTATTCCATCATCGATATTCGAAGTGTCTTTTGATCCATTTTTAAAAGGGTTTAATTTCCCCAAAGTCTTCGACACTGATGAGAAGAGTGTAGGCTTCTTCATTTTCTTCGGTTTACTAGATGTCGCACTTACTTGATTCTTTTGCATATCTGATATGTACATCTTCATTTTCAATAACTCAGATCTTAATGTTTCATTTTCTTTGGCTAATAACACATCCGATTGTACCTGAAGCCTCATGCTTTGGGCGATTGGTGTGCTTTGCCTACTTCTTATTTCTAATTGATCACAATAAAGCGTGTGCAAAACTATTTGCAATGGAAGTCTTTTGTTTTGTGAAGAGTGTGCCCTTGCTTCAATGGATAGTTTTAATGGATCCATTGAATTGCAAACTTTCTCTCGCTCGATTTCATCCAAGGTCAGATGCGTCTGAAAATTATAAGATAAAGTTTATTAAAAGTTATTTAAAAATATGAAATTATGTTTTTTTCATATGTTATACATTTAATATTTTATAAAATAGTTCGTACTAATTTTTTTCTTCTATTTATTCAAATCAATCATAGTATTTTTAAATATTTTAAAAAATTATTTATTGTAAAAAGTATTGATTTTTAATCAAGGTCTAACTAAATATTTTTCGACCCGAGACAAATATAATCCTAACTAGTAAAGAACCCGCGGCTATGCCGCTTTTGGGGTAATATGGAAAAAATCGGCAAACTTTAAAAGATATGTGTTGAAATTGTAAATCACCATAAATAGGGAAGAAAGTCGACAACTCTTAAAATTAGATGTCAAAAGTGTACAACGAAAAAAAGGGGACACTGGTGGAGAAAATCCAAAATGTTGTGACAATAATATTAAAGTTGTTAACGTTGGGAAAATATGTTGGCAAAATTTTAAAGGAGGTTTTTTTGTGTTTTTTATGTCAAAATGTAAAACTTTTGACTACAAGGACAAAAAGTGTCAAATTCATTAAAGAATTGTGGCAAAAACACCAAAATGTAATACCTTTGAATATAAGGACTAAAAGTGTCAAAGTCATTAAAGATTTGTGGCAAAAACCTTAAGGCACATAAACTTAATCAAAAGACAAAAATATAAAAATTTTGACTTTAGGGACTAAAAGTGTCAAGTTCAGTAAACTTTTGTGACAAAATGCTAAAGCCTAAAAGAATACTATTCCTAAGCTCCTTTGAATTTAATATATTTATAATATAATGACTAATGATTATTTATGTCTTGTTACCAAAGTAACCTGGAGGTATCTATCAATGGCGCGGTAGAGATCATCATCAACTTGTCGAGCATTTTTCGGCATCAAATTAGCAATTCCATTGAACTTTGAAATGCTCAATTCAGCAGTCCTGGCGATTGCAGCGAGATACGCGTCAACAGTCTTCGCCACCCTAAACATCGCCGGCGACGGAGTCTTCTTAAATTCACCATAGTTAAATACTTTCACACTCTTCTCCTTCTCCACGAATCCGCTCACGATCCTCCGTACACTCTCCATATCACACAATCGCTCTCCGTCAAACGTGTATGACAATGCGACTAGATCGTCGACGGTTACTTGATCTAGGATGACTGACATCCGCTTCTCGATCTGCTTCTTGCAATTCGCATTGGTTTCGAGAAAGATCGCAGTCCGGAGGAGGCAACATAGGAAGCTGATTGAGAAAACAACTTGTTGATTTTCGACAGGGAATAGTGCGACGATTGATTCTACGAGCTTTCGTTGATTGATTATGGAGGTGGAGGAGTGATTGGATACCGGAGATTTTATGCCGTTGATGGAATGGTCACGCATGAGGTCCGGCAACGATCTCTTAGCGTAGGTTGTGATTGCGTCGGCGATTGTGAATGCCTTGGCGCTGCGTGATTTCATCGAATCGATGAATTTTTGAAAGAAGGTTATGTCGACGATTGATAGTTCTTCTGTCCACCAATTCGGAGGTGAACGACTAGGAAAATTGGCTTCGTCACATGCCTGCAAGATAACAATGATTCAACCGCATTTTTTATCAGTCTAATTCAGTTCGATTCAACTCTTCTGGTTTCGCATTTTCGAGGTATTTAGCACGAAATGAAGATCAAATTTATCAAATATACCTTAGCGCTGGCAACTTCCATACATTGGTTAACGATGTTGAGTTGTTGAGCTACAGGAAGAAGATCTTCACATGATTTTAAAACAGTAATGGCGCCGGAGAAGCTCTTTAAGGCTACTTCGGCGAGGAAGCCATATGTCCGGCTGGCAAGGTTGCCGTCGCAGTACTCATCAGTCATTTGAAGGTACTCTGCAGCACAGTGGAGAGCTGCTACATTATTTACAGTGATTTCAAAATTAACACCATAGCAAAACCTTGCTACTTTCTCAAAGATCTCAGCTCCTCCAGGGATATCGGAGAGATCTATCCTCCCCAAATCAGGTACTCTCGATTCTAGAACTAAGTTTCGTATGTGGTTACTCTTTGCTACCAACATAAACTGCCATTATCCATGCTTAATTAGTTAATACATACACACAAAGAAACAAAGTCATTGTTGGATTTTAGAAATTGGCCTTAGATTATACCTTGTGAAGGGGGAATTTTGCTCCACCAACTTGAACCAATATGTCGGATGGGATATGGTTAGGGAAAGCCCTGAAACAATAGAAAGAAACGAAGAACAAGAGACCAGTAATTAAGTTTTATATAGATTAAGTTAAAAGATAATAGCAAGCAATTCTGGTTAGGGGTGTTTAGTAGATATAATTAGTTGTTGATGCATGATGATTACCCCTGTCCAGTTCTGTTCATCTCAAGAGAAGGCCTCTTGGTGTTCTTGACCTGAGTCGCCATTTCTGCAATTTGTTAACGAAAGAAAGTTGTTAGGTTATGGTGATGATCTCTTAGTCTGCTTTGGTTATATAGATGTAGAAATAATATATTCTAAAAAACAGGTGGTGCATGTTTTTGCCTTCACAATTAGAGGTAGTGATAAGTAAAAGAGAACAGATTACGTCGCTTAATAAGATACCACACGATGACAAATAAACAATGAAAACGATCATTGAAAACTAGGTACCCTGAACATGTACGTTAACATTCCCTTTTCATCTTTTCCTTCATCCAACTTTAGGAGAGAGTTGTGGAGAGAATGGCTGTATCAAAATTTACCAATTCCCGTGGCTTAAAACCCTATTATCCTTTATACGTTTATTTCTCCAACTTTTTTCACTTTAATTTGTAATTTAGACATTTAGTTTTTATATACTTCACTTGGTTAGCTTATAAAGTTTATATTATATTTAATAATAAATGGATAATGTGGTTAAATAATAATCAAGTTTGAGGTTTGTTAGTTGTTACACCTTAGTACCTTGAACTTTGTTTTTTAAATATGTTTTACCATTCAAGTTTCAATTTTGTTTCATTTATTATGTGAAAAAAATATAAATTGTAACTTGTTTGACCTGTTTGACTATGGTCTTGAGAATATATATTTAACATATTTTCATTAAATAATAACCAGT